AACAACAAGAAGAAGATAAAGCTCGAATGAGAACTGAGAGAGAGAATATGGGGGACGGCCGAATTATGATGTAATTAGAAATTCTCTTCCCATGAGCTTAATGATGTATATATAGAGGTATAGTAGGGACCCTTAGGATATTAGGAGAAGGGCTCCTTAATTAATTAAAGTACTTGTGGACCAAGCCGCTTATTTTAATAAATTAAATAATATTAAATGGGCCACCAACATAATATTATTGCACTCCCTTTTCTTATCCCAATTTACAATTGAGACTCAAATAATAATTACTCGATTTATCTCTTCATGTTTAAGATATAATGTCCATTAATTAAATCAATTGCTGACAATCAAGAATTAACTAATTTTTTATTATTTTACCGAAACTAGAGCTCGTTGATCACATTTATGCCGGAATTTAATCCACCTACAAGGTTTAGCATAATAATCATCATTAACTCACTCCGTGGACATCATCAAACAAACGCACATGGTGACCGTAAATATCATAACAGCACATCCTACACGCAGCAATATTACCCAAGAGAACGAGTCTATTGGCCCTGTTCACTAAGCCTCACCCATGTGAATCAAAGTAATATGTTCTACACATATATGCCTGTTTAATATCTTACAGGTTAAGAGTACGCAGTAATTAATCGAGGCCTAGTTCGTTTACGACGATCGGTATAAAACGAACTGCTCCTCTCTGGGATCCTGTCCAATACATAAATGTACTAGTGCAACTAATCAGTCAAGCCAGACTATACAGTGGACACTACAACCGTTCATGGTGGGGTGTTCATGTCCATCTGGGTTGTGAACCAATTATTCTTGTTTCACGAGTAACTGATAGCATGATCTTCGGTTCGCCCGATGACGACCCACACTATCTAATGCAAACAACAGAACGTAGAACTTGTTTAATCTAACATGTTTCTCATTCATAAAGGGAAAAAGTGTAATATCATCCAAAGTTAAGCTTTCAGTATATAACACTAACAATCTCCCACTTATACTTAAAGCTTTCGCTTTTACAAGTATAGTCCTATCAATCCGTTATTATAAAAGACCTATGTCGATCCTATCACATGCACTTGACTCCCATTCCTTTCACATGTTTGACGAAGACCTTCTCCGACAAACTCTTCGTGAAGGGATCAACTAGGTTGTACTTAGATGCAATCTTGGCAACATCAA